GACGGATGGTGATGGCCCTTCCAAAATGCTTAAGTGGTATGTTGGAGGGGTTGTCACTTGCTTGCCACCTGTTGGAGTTCCATACTGCCATAAAAGGGGTGGCTCACACTTTCCCACCTTTCCAAGCATCTAGTATATAAAGAGTGGGAAAGATGTAGGGCACTGAAAAGAATTAGGCCCTGCCCAAAGTAAAGGGTCCAGTTGTAAATGGATGGTAGCTCCATTTCACAAGCAAAGATCTCTTGCAGCTTTGCTTTCCCTCGACAGCTTACCTTTTGACAGCTGAGAAGGGAAAAACTGAGTGAAAACAAACCTCTTTGCAGCCTCTGACCTCAGTGCCCATGGTGAGTTTCTGCTGTACTTCCCATGACATTGCCCCGTTTCAGACTCCCATGAATTCAACTTGAGTAACCAAGTAGGTGACCCTGGGGTCAAATGGAAAGCCATTCCTTTTCTTTGGTGCTGGGAAAAAGTGTGTGTCAGTATAATGGGCAGAGCAATCCCATATATGTCTACGCAGAAATATTTCCTATTGAATTCCATGTAAGCACACATAAAATTGCAGCCTTGAATGGGCATTTTGTTGCATTTCTGTCAGTCAAATATGTGGACTGGTTCTGTATGCTGCTTGTACCCAGTTACTTGCATGGACTGCCTTTTGACTTGTCATGCCTGCACAACACCCATCATGTAGTTACCCACATTTTCTGTGGAGTCAATTTGGGGTGGAGCCCATACCATTTTTGCAACTGCCTAAATGGGCCCACAGGTCCAAAATTAGTGGGGACCTCTGCTATACACATATACAACTATATAGCAGTCTTCTGCCACCAGGTGCCCTCCAGATTTTTTTGGAATTCAATTACCATCAGCCCTAGCCAACTTGAGCATTTGTCAGGAATGTTGCAGGTGGTCACTCAAAGTATCAGGATGTTAGATCAAGGAAAGATCCTTTGACAGCAATGCTGAAATCTACATTTGCAGCTCTCACCTTTCTCTGCCCTGTTCGTTTCTCACCATTTCTTTGGCATCTACAGAGAGTGAAGTCAACAAAACACGCCACCAAAAGGTGCTCCCATATTCTAATCACCAGTAAGCTTGCAATTAAGGCCTGTTGACACCTGCACCTGCCTTATTCAGTATCCTCCTTAGAGACTTGCAGCTTAACATGTGCATTACTACCACTGAAAAGGGTGAAAGTGTTTCAAACATAATCATTGAGTTTGACCTGTGACAGCTTTATTGCATATGCCAGTCATCAAACAGACACATGAATGCTGATTAAAGGATACTGCTGAGATACAAGGTTAGCTTGCAATCTGTCTTCATAGTCTGATTTCACACATCTTTCACACATGCAAACTCTGTCTCTTACCACAGAGATACTCACAATTTGAGGATGAGAGGGGAGAGTCTTCCAGTGGTAACTTTGTTACATGCCATTAATCTGTCTCTGACTTATGGTGAGAGTATGAACGGATGTCCTCCAAAATGTTCTGCCTATGACAGCCCCATTCAGAGCTTGTAAACGCCAAGCTGTGGCTTCCGTTACTGAACGGATCCATCTCATACATGCTCTTCCTCCTCCTCCTCTGCCTTTGATTTTCCCAAGCGTGGCTGTCTTCTCCAGTGAGTCTTGCCTTCTCACAATATGCCCAAAATATGGCAGTCTCACCGTTTTGTCATTTTTACTTCCAGGGATAATTTCGACTTGATTTGATACAAGATCCATTTGTTTGCCTGTCAGTTCAGGGTACTTGAAAAATCAATCCTTCAACACTATGTTCCCAGCAGATCAATTTTCTTCTTGTTAGCTTTCCTTGCTGTCCAGCTTTCACACCCATCCAAGCGATCGAGAATACAATTGTGTAGTTGATCTTCACATGGCCTTGGTCTCCAGTGAAATATTCTTACACTCGATCTTTTCTAGTTCCTTGTTACCCTCCCAAGTCTCAGTCTTCTTCAGATTTCTTGATTGTAATCTCTTTGAATTGATGATTAAATCAAAGTATGCAATTTTTCTCAATTTCAGTTTCTTCATTTTTGACAATAAAATTTTTAATTCTTCTGTGGTCATGATTTTTCATGTCTTATTTTCACTCCTTCCTTTTATTCTAATCCAGCTTTCCTTATGAAATGTTCTGTGTACAGGTTGAACACACAGGGAAATAAAGTATACCCTTATCTGATGTTATTACCTATAGGAAACCATTGTTTCTCTATATTCTATCCTAATAGTAGCATCTTTTTCAAAATGCAGGCTATCCATCAAGTGATTAGACAAGCCAATTTCTTTCAGGACCATCCATAGCTTCTCACAATCCACACAAAGGCTTTGTTGTAAAGTACAGTCTGATTTTCTTCCGAAATTCTTTTGCAAGTTTCAGTAGCCGCCACATATTTGCAGTGTGAACCCAAGTGCCTATTCCTTCTCAGAATCCAGCTTAAACATCAGGCATTTCTTAATCCATATAGGTTAAAATTCTTTGTTGCAACATGTACATTATTTTGCCTGCACAGGAAGTGAGGGCGATGGTCTTATACTTATTGCACTCCCTACTGTCACCCTTCTTGGGGAGTGGAATGTATGCTGAAAGCTTCCAGCATGTGGACATTGTTTTCTTTTTCATATTTGTTGGCATACTTTTGTTAGGATTTGGACTGCTTTAGCCTCTGCAGTTTGGAGTAGTTCTATCAGTATTCTATCTACTCTGGGTGCTTTGTTCCTTCCAAGTGCTCTCACAGCAGCTTTCACTTCACTTTAATATTACAAGTTCTTTCTCATAGGATTCCTCTTCAAAGGAGACTGTCTTCCTTTTATCTCTTTCATATATTATTTCTCTGTTTTCCTGTTCAGATAGCATGTTTCCTTGTTGATCTTCCAGCATGCCTAACCTAGGCTTGAATTTCCCTTTGATCCTTGAATCTTCTGGAGAGGTCTCTTGTTTTTCCTCTTTTGTTGTTCTATTTGCGCTGGCCATTAAAATAGTTCTTTCTGTCTCTATGTGCTAATTGCTGAAAAGTTGCATTCAGGATTCTGTCCCTATTTCTTATTTATTTATTTAGAAAATTGATAGGCCGTCCATCACTGTCGTCTCTGGATGGCTTACAACATTATTTCAATCCTCAATAAAATAAAATAAGTTAACTGTTCCACACTGAGCATAAAACTGATCTTTTTAAAATAAATAAAATAAATCTAACAGAATTAAAATTACAATATGTTAAAATATTGGTCAAATAAAAAGATCTTGACCTGGCATCGAAAAGCATATAATGACGGCACCAGGCAGACCTCTCTAGGGAGCACATTCATAGTTGGGGGGCCACCGCAGAGAAGGCCCTCCTCTGAGTACTCTGTCTCCTGATCTCTTTCAAAGAGGGTTCCCGGAAGAGGGCTTCTGCTGCCGATCTTATTTCCTTCAGCCTTTGCTATGCTTCTCCCTTGTCCTTGTGTTTTTTCCATCATCCTTCTAGGTTATTTTTTTTAACCACATAAAATATTAAAGCAGATAAAGTCTCAAAGCTCACATTAACTTTGTAGCAGCAGACTGAACATTACGCTCTACATTTCATTGTCTGACCTTTAGCACACAGATAATATGGTAATTCTCACATTTTCCTGCTTGGAAGACCAATGAACAATTTTATATGATATATGAATACATGAAAAAGATTGACATGAAATTCAATTAACAATATTTTAATCTAAAATTATTTTTTCTGCAATGGCTGTGAGTCTAGGGAGTAGGATGTGAGGGTGGATTACCACATCCAATGTTAAAGCACCTTTCCAACTCAGAGCTGGGAATCAAGAGAAATCCTGTGGCCATCTAGACACTGTTGTGGGAGGGGGTGCATCTGATTACTTTGTGCAAGTGTAATAAAACCTGAGTGATGTCTCTGCAAGATAATGCTTGGTCCTATCCTCTTTTCTTCATTAGTTCAGAATAAATTATCATCAGAGCAAAAGGTGTCCATTTGTGGGATCTGCCTGAGTGATCTATGCCTGGCCTCAGCTATGGGCTGGTAACCCCTAGATTAGATGATTGTAACACACTAAGGCTCTCTTGGATTGCCTTAGAAGATTGTTCAGAAATTGCAATTAATGCAATACAGCTGACAGACTATTACCTAGAACTGAGCATTCTCATATGATGCTCATGATTCATCAATTGCCCTGGTTCTTGTCTGTTTCTAGTATCAAAATCCTGCTCTCATTTTATGTGGAAAGGCTAAACTTGGTAAATGAACATTAAAGAATTCCATCAAATTAAACATGCAATCAAAAGCTTAGATTATTCTGCCATACTTGGGTAATGCATCTAAATGAATGAATAATGAAACTTCTAAAATTGTTCACGTGAATCTGTGCTTTCACATAGTGTGTATATTCAGTACAGAGATTTTTCAAGATGGTGGCTGCAGTGTTTTGAAGTGTTGCCATCATGGAACAATCAGCGGGTGCATATGCAACATCTCTAAATTAGCCCAAGGGTTGTGCTCTTCCACTTCCAAGACAACTGTGCAAGGCATGCTGGCACCTGTGGAACGGTTCTTACAAGGATATCAGACTCACTAACTGGGCCAAACAGAGTTTTTCAGAACCATCCTTCCAGAGCTGAAGAATTTATGATGACCCTGACTGATCCTTTCAATAGTAATTAGCTACTGGTGAGGCAATGCGATAGATATAAACAGTTCTTTTTTAATGTAACAGGTGCTCATCCGATAGATCATGCAATGACAGAAATAAAACATCCGATAATGAAATAATTATATTTTAATTAAAAATTTACACACTGTATACAATTTACCAGTCACCTTACTGAATATAAAACAAATCTGCTGTACAGCTAAGAACTGTTATGCTTTATGTTCATTACTTATAAGGCCGCAAAAATCTGGAGACCTTAGAGCGCAACAACCGGATGAAAGACCTTGGAAACATCTCTCTGGACTCTTGTGCCGTATACTTGAAGTAGTTTTGGGGGTGTGCCAGCACATCAAACAACGCCTTAATCAGCTTCTTATCCTGAAAGAATAAGGCAAATTTTTACTGCTATTTAAAGTATTCAGTTCAAGGAAACATGAGTGCAAAAGCACAAAATGCTGAGGACAAGGAAGGACTGTACACTGTCCGCTTTCTCCAATCAGGCACCCCCAGAGGGGTTGCACTATTGATTTATTACATTTCTATGCCTCCCAACATAAAATACATTATGCAATTTAATGATTTAAAACTACACTATAAAAGTAAAAGCCAAAGTTAAAACCTTTCAGCAGTACAATGATTTAAAATAAAGGATATAAAACGAGAGACTAAAAGACTGAAATTCATAGAAAAACAAGAGGATTTACAATTTTGTCTTTCTGATTCAAGAGGCATGCTGCTAGGGGAGGATGGGAGTTCTAGTCCAACACATCAGTAGAGTGCCAGGTCAGGGAAGGTTAAACTATGTTATGCCATATATTATCACTTTTCTATAATACATAGGACCACCCATAGAAATGTTGAGTTGCTCAACTCAAATTAGCCATATATGCCTGTTTGTTATCACTATCATTACTGTTGTCCATCTAATGTTCTAGGCAGTTACCAATGTTTTACGATGGTTTCCACCTATTTATAAGGTAGAAATGCAATTTTTTGTCCACACAGTCACTGCGTGGGTTTGCATGACACAACCACCATCATGATAAATTATCAAAATTATACCTGGAAAAACCAAGATGTCACAATGTGCCTGACAGACAATCAGGCTCATCGGGTTGCTCCCCCCTCCCCTCTGCCTGCCCCCTTTCCTTTCATTCCTCCAAGTGGCATCTCAGGACACACAGTGAGCAGAAGCAATTGCAAACAGAATCTGGCTAACTGCAGCTGTCAAGCAGTTTCTGCCGGGCAAAAAGGGCTCATCCCTGAAGCACCGCAGAGAGAAGAGGGAAGCTGCTTGGACAATCCTCACTTCAGACTCCGGAGGAGACCCTTGGAGCAGGCAGAGAGATCCTGATCCACTTTTAGACCGGGGGGGCGGGGGGAGGACCTCTCAGGCAAGGCAACTAGCCCGGAGGCACTGCCCCAGCTGGGACAGCACTTCTCAACTGATTCCTCTGCTCTTGCTTGAAAGGCTCTCACTGGAGCAGGAAAAGCTAAGGGAGGACCTGGGCAAGGTGCAGATGGTCCCCAACTGAGCCAGTCCCATCTTTCTTTTCTTCTGCTGGAGAGAAAGCTCTTCAGGCAGGAGGCGGCAAACGGGATCCTGTGCTAGTTGGGACATGCTGAAAATGGAACATCCTGCCTTAGCCCAGGTTCCCCCTTCCCTGCTCTTGCCTAAACACTTTTCTTCCAAGCAGGAGCAAGAAAGGGAAGACAAACCCAGTCCCCCTTTCTCCTTCCCCCAGGAAGAAAGTTGCTCAAGCAAGAGCCGGGAATGGAGAATCTGGGCTAAATGGGGAAGGCAGGCACTGGACTGGGGAGGCCGGCACATGCCAAACCACCTTTCCCCTGAGCAGAAGTGAGCCAGGGGAGCAGGCCAGGAGAGGTTCCCTGGGACAGGAGGCAGGAAGGGCCAGGAGGTCTCTGGCTGCTGCACCAAAGCACAGCAGTGCTTTCCTACCATGATGAGTTCTGTTGTCTGGATTCAGACGAGGCAACAGGCCATACTGGTGGGGAGAAACCACAGAATCAACCTTTGTTTCCTATCATGGTTTCTGAGGACCAAACTTACCACACTGAGATACCAGTTTGGATGACACCACAATAAGGAATCTCTGTGGCTTGTCCTATATGCAAACCCAGTGTCTGGTTCAGAGCCGGCCTTACCATTGGGCAGAGTGAGATGACTGCCTCAGGTGGCAGGTGATCCGAGGAAACATTAATGGATGGCATATTGTCAGTTATTTAACTTTACATTTTTTACCACAGAAGAGTGCACCATTTGAGTTTCTGTTCAGCTGCACTAGTTATCAGTATGTTTTGAGCCCAATCTAAAGTGCAGTGTTTTAAAGCCTTAAATGTTCTGGACCCCTGCCAGCAATTCATGACTAGTTTCAATGAGGTAGGAATAGTAATGAGAATTATCAAAGCATTGCTTCTGGTTTGGAAGATAAACATCTCACCAAAGAGTAATGTATGTATTTGTGTTTCTTTCATGTAATTTTTAAAAAAATATATCCAAGTTTACCTTTAGGATCTCTTGATGATTTTCTGATGCATACAATCTACCATCTCGGACTATATCTTCTATCAGTTCCTGATAATCTTCTGTTAGGAACAGACAGGTATTTTACATGTTTTACTGGTTTGTTGCAGAATAACAAACATTCTATTTAATTTTATCAGTGGACCATCTCTTTGGACCATACAGAAGAAATTCAAGTATATATATCCTTTGTTTTTTGAGTGTAAACAGACATGCAAGACTACATGCTATTTTTCATATATGCAAATTTAATATAATCCAAAGACTTACAAGAAAGAAAATATAGCAAGACATACATATACTGCCTGTGCAAAAAAGACAAGATTTCCCCTACTTGACGATTTACTATTAATACACCTAGGGCCAGAATCATCAGCAGCCTTAAAGAACTCTCTATGCTTTAGCTATGTGGCATACTTCAAACACATTTTTACTAGAAAAATCTACTCCTAATGTTTACAGTATTCTTCCCCCAAATATCCTTACTTTCCTCACCTGCCTCTTCTTGTAAGCAAAGCAGCAAAACCATTGTTCAACTGCATCAGCTATTTTTGTGTTAAACGTATGATCTTGTTTCCACTGATGTGTTTTCATGATGGCAATCAGATTAAGCTCAGGCCTCCAAATTGGAACAAATCCTGTCTCCAGTAAAGTGACTGAAAAGTTGCCACTGACTGTAGCAAAGCCAAAAGCCCTTTAAGAGATGCAGACTTCAGACATGTGGAGTCCATCACAAGTTACCCAGACTTGCTTGCTGCTGGTTGTTGCCCCAGGGTAGTTCTGTTTAGCTTGGGATAGCTGCCAAAAGATCACCTGAGGGAGATGAAGCTGCCAGTTTTCTTTGCCTCTGCCTGACACACTGATTAGTCCCAAATTCAACTTCAAAGCAGAAAGTGCAAAACTATTTATACACTGTGAGAAAAAGCATTTCCTGGGATAGTGCAGTAACCTGTGGCAATGTTTCCTAAATCAAAGAAAGATGCAAACTAAGTTTCAATGAAGTGACTGGGAGATACTAGGACCTGGTAGTGCTGGGAAAGCATTATCACCCCACTGTCTCGTCCCCTAGATAGCTTCACTCTCATAGGACACACATGTGGCTTAAGACCAAGCCAAGACCAACCTCACACATAAGTAATTATAAAATGTGATAGAATTTTAAGGAGCTTTCATCAGTCAGACATGTCTGTTTAATAAACGAGCCCTTATTCAACCCTTCAGCTGCATGGCTGGAACTGGTACCAGTAACCTGCACTGTCCACACTGCAACTTTCAACCAGGTCTGCAGTGTGAGTCCCATGTCCTGGAATGTTCTGTGATCAAACTTCATGAATACCTCTAACAAAATGTTGTGCTCCTCCTGTAGTGACTGGGCCCACTAGCTCTGCAGAAGATCCTCCAAAGCATATGGGAACAGATTCTGATTCTGATTAAAAGGAAATGGGGATTCTAAGCATGCAGTGCCAAGGATAGAGGGGGTAGAAATAGAGAGGGAAGGAAAGAGCCAAGCTGCTCCTGAACTTGTGGGAAACACAGCCTTTTGAAGGAGGAGGAAATGGATAGGATTGACCCAAGGGTGGAAAATCAATTAAGGAAGAAGACCAAAGGCAAGGTGTGAAACTTTTTAAGAGGCTGGTGCTGATATCCTCAAAGGTTCCTGGTAAGGGGAGGGGAGCTAACACACTGGTTTTCTTCTGTTACAGATTCCTGTAAAACGACACCTCCTTCCTCACCACCCATCCATATTTTGAAATGAGGAACCATGAAAATCAAAATAAAGAAAAAAACAAGTTCAATGCTTCTGTTTCATTCAATTTTACTAGCTGCTTACCATCATATGTTACATAAGGGACCTGAAATCCTTTAGCACTATTTCCTTCATTCGATTTGAACTGGATCCACAGCTTTTTAGACCTGGAAGTGAAAGCTATAGGGCGTTCGTAGGTTTGGCAGGTTTCATATGTGGTCACAGAATTGGAGGAAGCTTCCAAACAAAATGCACAACAAGCAGATATCAGACCTTTTCTTTTGAACAAAACGCTTTCCTTTCTTCTCTTTTCCTCTAAAGACCTAAGTTCCCCCCAATATTATGCTTTCTGCTGCCCCACTGCTGGGGTCCATTCTAGTGAAAGGCAAACATGACTAACTTGACAGTTGCCCATCAGCCACCAACACATAACTGCATCCACATGATCCAAAAGCCTTCTGGAACAATATTTCCGGGCAACTTCCCAAATTTCTGTAAGGAGAGTGCCCAGTGGACTGCAAGAGAAATGGCCATCATTTGGCATAGGGCTGGTGATGGACCACATCTCAACAATGGAACAGTGACTAGCAGACCATCTTTACCTAGATCCTATTACTGAGCTACGATTATACTGACTGAAAAAACAAAAAGGTAAAATGCACAACAGTTCAAATACATCACACTACCCCAAAGATGCTCTTTTGAATTGAAGATGAAGACCAGAGTTAGGCTCTTGACTTTAAAAAGGTACTATTCCCTCCTGGAGTACAAAGCAAGGTTTCAAATATCTCTTGCACAAGACACCTTTTTGGACATAAGACCCACTAATACTCACACAGGATGTCCCAGCTACTTGCACAGTAAAGTGAGCTAATGAGCTCATTACAATTATGGCAGCTCAGTGCCCAGGAGAATCCTAGACTGTTGTAATTGTTAGCCATCTCTAGCTGAAGAGTCTGTGCCTTTGAACATGCCATTTTGCTCAGTCAGGTTGTGCAACTGAAGTGGGGCTCGTGCCCTGGTTTTGTAGTGGGAGCAGTAGAGTGGCTAAGAGACTGAGCAGCCAATAAGCAAGTCCCTGGTCTAAAAGTCCCCAATCTCACTTCTGCCATGAACTGACAAGATGGCTTCAGGAAAGCTACTTTTTCTCTCTCCCTTAAAATGTAATGGCTGATAGTAGCAAATCTATTTGAAGTGCTTTGAAGACATGAAAGCACTGCAAAAATTCTCCTTCTCTTTCTTCTTCTTATTATTATATATTTATAATATAAGACTGAATTATCCCATTTCTTGACATTGTAAAAGTGAACTTTCTGCTTTGCTGAGGTCATTGGCAAAACACATTTAAAGGTTTCAGTCTAAACACACTACTTGGCTCCACCAACATATTTTCTTTAGCTTTGAAAGACGCACTGCCTGGGAACTTAGCCAAGCCATCAGCAGAAGAAAACAGACTGTTGCATCAACAAAAACAGGCACAGCATGTAGCAAGCTATGACCCAAACAGTAATAATATTTGATTATTCCCAGTCTTGTTTGACTCAGCTGGGAGAAGAACTTCTCTGTTCCAATAAACCCTTAACCTAGTAGTGGCTGAACATCTCAATTCTGGCAGTGCTCTCAGGGAAAAGGCTGCTCTCATATGCTTATCTGAAGTGTAGTAATGGCTGACACTGTATTTTTTAAAGTTTAATTCTCCTCAAGTATGACCCAAGGCTGAGTCACACATCACTCTCTTAATGAAAAGCGTGGAACCTATTCCCTGCTGTCCCCACTGTCTTGAGCAGCAGCTGCCATAAGAACCCCAAAAGAGCCCTGCTGTTCAGGGCAATCATCAAGCATCCTGTTCACAAAGGGACCAGCCAGCTCTCTACAGGAAATCCACAAACAGGATAGGTGTGCTCAGCAAACCTGCCCCCCGCTCCTGCTCACCAGCAGCTGGTGTGCGCATCCTACCACCTCTGCACACCGGCATACTGCGCTCTTTTAGCAGCCAAGGAAGATGGAGGCCGGCCTAAGGTGAAGAAAGAGCTACTTCTGCCCACCTGAGCTAGTCCTTTGCGAGGCCACTACCACCCTCGGATCCCTCGAGGCTGACCAGACCACTGGTAGTAGGCAGATGGTGGACTCGAGGCCACTCCAACCACACACACAGGAGACAGGACAGCTGCTGCAGTGAGGCAGCTCCATCCTGGGATTGCCCAAAGCGAGCTGCAGCAGCCATCACTGGATAAGCCTGTTTGCCACTGAACCTGGGACTGAGCAGTGGCAGAAGGAACTGCTGGGTTGTTTGCCTTCTGGCTCCACTGAATGAGCTTGCAAATGGAAGTGGGGGAAGGAAGGAGATGCCCCCCTCCTTTACCCGCCCATGAATTCCCAAAGTACCGATTCTATTCTAAAACGTGCTGGTTCTCTCCCCGACCCCACTGTAACAGGTAACTCCTAAATTCGTCGCCACTGGAAGCCCAGTAGCACCACATTTAGAAGTAGATTTCATGGGACTGGTTTTAGCCCATGCAGAACGCAGTGTAAACTAGTCAGGGAATCCAGGTACACAAAGCACATTCTTATTTTAACTTACAGCTTTTCCTCATCACCAGAAAGTCTCCACATTCATCTTCTATGGGCAGAAATATTTCTGGAACCACAATCAGAATGCGGCGTTTAGGAGGAGGGTTTATCGTCCAGATACACTCTGTGTTTGCAGGGTAATTGCCAGGATAGTTTGGGGATTCAATGTATCCGGTAAACTCTCCAAGTTCACCACCACAGCGCCTGTCTGGAAAAAAGGGAATACATTATCCATGGCCGGGGCAGAGAGAAGAGAACCAAGAAATGCCACATGAGCTAACGAATACTCCAGGCACAATCGCTTTTGGATGCTGTCTGGGAATCAGGCAAATTCCTTCTTCCTAAGACCATGATTATTTATTTATTTAAAAATGTATATACCATCCATCAGCCAGAAAGGCTCTCTGACAGGTTTACAGCATCAAGATACAAATAAAAACAAATAAAATAAACAACAATGTATAATACTCAACAATTTATAAAATCAAACAGGAATAATACATCAAATAAAATAGCAACAATAAATCCATAGCAAGCTCATTTGAATAATTCCTTCAGACGGTTTAAAATGGAAAAATAAAATCCACATAGTACAACACTGCCCATGAAAATAAACAGTGCCTTAGAGCATGAGTCCTCAAACTAAGGCCCATGGGCTGGATCTGGCCCGCCATGCCCATTTAACCGGCCCGCCCCAGAGGTTTTGCACTCACCGTGGGGGCGCACAGCTTGCTCGCGAGGAGGTTGCTTTGGACTCCCCCCCCACCCCCACACACCACTGGCACCTGTCAACTGGCTCCCTGTTGAAAAAGTTTGAGGACCCCTGCCTTAGAGCGACTACCAGATGCTGAGCTGCTTTCCACAACACAACACATTGTGGGTTAATCTGCCAGGTCACAGCGGCTAGGAGGGAAGAGAGAAGAAACAACAAGCAGGTGTTGGCTGGAGAGGAAGCAAAGAAATGAGCAATAGTTCAGTAATGGGAAACGGTATCTGAGAGGTAAAGGAAAGGTGGATGCTGTTTTATTTCACTTCTATATTGTTCAGAAACTAACACTCTATGAAATTGCGACATTTAAAACCATAATATAACAAAACAGCAAAATACAATATAAAAATAACCAAACAGAACCCAGTACCTGGCCAAAGATGCTAAATATAATACCAGAATTAAAACAGAAAGTAAAAAACAAAACTGCCATGAAAAATACAAGGAACATCACCCGGCAGCACAAGAAGCACCAGGTAAGTTGCAGGGGCCAGGGCAGCCTCCTTTCCTCAAAGACCTGAGTTGGAGGATTGGCAGCCAGTGCCAGTCTCCTTGAGTTTGATGTCAATGAGAAAGCTAAACCCATTCCTGGTTCTTATGTGAGAAAACGCATGAGTGTGAGATTGGTTCTTCTGGCAAATGCTCTCTATCTATAGTACCCAAGTAGGAGCAATGCCAAGAATCTCTCCCAGTGCATTTTTTCTTTACTGGAGAAATGATGAGGAAGTTATTAAGGATCAACAAGTATTGTAATAATGCTTAAGAACACCATTCTTAAAGTAAACCCATCCAATATGGCTACTTAAGTTGAATATACTACCTGGCAAAAAGAGAGCATAGATATGTTTACATCCACACTGTAGGCCTCTTTAGAATAAAGAATCCCACATGCCAACCAGCTTCTCACTACTATGCAAAAAGGTAGACAGGAAAATTGGGTAAGAGTTTCATAGCATCATCATATCAGAATCACAACACTGCAGTAAATACAAGTTGAGGAGTGATAAATATAAATAAAGCAGAGGATTCAAAATAGCCTTTAAAAATAATTAAAAAAATTAAAGTATCAGAACAGTATAATGGTTCATAAAGATGGAGAATATAAAAATAATTAATTATACAAGAAGGTAGAAAAGGCTCCGCTGTTCTTAAATGCTTCAGCCCCAAAGCAGTGACACCAGAACTGAACCTATTCCTGCTATTTGGGAAACAAGCTTCAGCTGTCACTTCTATAACTTCCTTTCCCACAGCAGAAAGATTTTGCCCTTGGTAGAGAGAAAGGGGAAAATATGCCAAATAAGAAAAAGGCAGATCAAAGCACAGCAAGGAAAAGTAACTGGAAGCAGGTTCTAGGCACAGCTAATGAGTTCTAAGCTGGAGTTGCAGCTGAGACTCAGCAACCTCTCACCACTTCTGTTTATAGAGGCTGCTTGGAGACTGGGTGTCAAAGCAAGGTCAAGTGAGCTGCATCTCAGGGCAGGCCAGAGCTGAACAGCAAGTATTGTCAGGTGGGAATCTGACTTCTGCTGAAATCAGTAAAGACCAGCAGTGTCTTTACTTCCGGTTTGGTGGAAGAGAGCAAACCAACACTGCAATACAAGCAAAGGATTCATTGAAGCACTGCTGCATCCCAGTTCAGAACTAACACAGGTTCCCTGAAGAACTCCTTTGCACCAAGTCTTTTCTCTGCTTCACGGATACATTGCTTGACCTCGTCTGCTTGGCACTATGTAAACTGCAACATATCCAGAATGACACCAAGCCTGAAAACAAGCTAACGTACAAACAAGCTTAAGGACAGAAGAAAAGCCATGCTTCCAAGGGTCCATCTAGTCCAGCATTCTGTTTACCAGTTGCCAACAGGAAATTCACAGGCAGGACATGGATGGAAAACCACCTTCCCATTCTTGTTCCTCCAAGAACTGGTGCACATAGGCATACTGTCTCTAATATTGCAGGCAGCAAATGGCCATTGGGACCTGTAGCCATTGATAGATTTTTCTGCCATGAATTTGTCTAATTCTCCTTTAAAGCCAGACTGGTGATTACTACGTATTGTGGGAGCAAATTCTGTAATGAACTACTTGCAGTGAGAAGAAGTGCTTTCTTTTATCCATACGGAATAACCCACAAGTCAGTATGGGATAACTCTGGGTTATAGTTGTAAGAGAGGAGAAAAGTCTCCTTATCCACTTTCTCCAGACCATGAATAAGGAGTAATTTTCTACTGCTCTTTCTCCCCTTACTCATCCTTTTTCTAAACAATTCCAGGTGCTGTAACCTTTCTTTCCAGGGGAGCTGCTCTGGCTCCTTGATCATTTTAGAATGCAGTCCTATCATCTCCCAACACTGCATGAGATCCTGCAACTCTAGACGAAATGCAGGGCCTGGGGTGGCAAAGACTGCAGCTGCTACACCTCATAAACTGCATCAAGTGCCCATTGGGGGCTTTCATGCACTGAGGACACAGGACTGTGTCCTTAGTTGCCATGTTTCCAACTCTACAATATCCTTTTTACATGTGGTGACCAAAACTGCATACAGTATTATGAGTGAGGTCATATCACAGATGTCTGTAGGAGGAATATGACCTTGAGAGTTTATTTACAATTTGTTTCTTAATTGTACCCATCATAGAATTTGCCCTTTTCACAGCTGCTGCACATTGGCACTATTAAACTGTCCACCAGAACCCCAATATCACTTTCCAAGTCAGTTAAAAAGGTAAAGGTTTCCCCTTGACATTAAGTCCAGTCATGCCTGACTCTAGGGGGCGGTGCTCATCTCTGTTTCCTGGCCGAGGGAGCCAGCATTTGTCTACAGACAGTCTCTGTGGTCATGTGGCCAGCATGACTAAACACCGAAGTGCACGGAACGCTGTTACCTGCCCACCAAAGTGGTACCTTTTTATCTACTTGCATTTGCATGCTTTCGAACTGCAAGGA